GGATTTTTTAAAAAATAGGATAGAGGGATGACATGGTCAAGGACATCTTTATAGGAGAGATGATTTTGAATGTTGGATGGAGAGTAGAACACAGAAAATAAAGACCAAAATGGAGACCAGGGTAAAACTGAGCCATAGGCTGAAATACATAAAACTATTGGCATGTAAATTCATGTCCAACTGGAATAAGAATATTATGTTGATTAGACTGCTGGCAGGCAGATAAGGCTAAACAGGTATAATTATGCCAAACTAGAGAGGACACTGACAGCAAAGCTGAACCAAGTTTTCTGCTGCCAATTGTCATTCTCTGGGATGCTCTAAGTAAAAAAAAAAAAAAAAAAAAAAATTAAAAAAAAATATATATGTCACATATATGAAATTCATCGTATATATCAAATATACATATCATATATGTATATACATGTAGGAGAGGTACTTCAGTGGTTAAGAGGGCTTGCTGCTTTCCCAAAAGACCCAAGGTTTATTTCTGGTATCCACACTGGTTGGCTCACAATGACCTGTAACTCCAGATTCTGGGGATCAGTCATGCTCTTCCGGCCTCCAGAGGGACCCATATTCATGGACACATACCCACATGCAGACACAGACATGTACACAAAGAATAAAAAATTAAGAAGTTCGTACAAAGACAGCGGAACACCTAAATGGGTACTGGCGGGCCCCTCCCTATTAGGCTTCACATTTGACCCTTCAGCTCGAAGCTCCAGCATGGCCACCTTCCTTTGCCTTGCCCCTGATATCTAGCAGACACTTAGGGAAACCCCTCAGAAGTGTGCTGCTCAGATCTGTACCGCTCCCTTGAAGGTCACTTTGCAAAATGTCATAGGAATATTTCTTGTCGTTCTAACTACTGACTAGAAAGACATTTAGCTGATTTTTTAAAAAGTTTTTTTTAAATCATTAGTGGCTTCAGTGGACATGTAAGCTGGGTCGGGAGCCGTGGAATGTTAGAACTGGCAGATCCTGAGGCTAACCCTCCTTGTTTTACTTTGGGACCAAAAGAATCACAAAAAGGAGAAATGGCTTGCTTCAGCAGACCCAGCTCAGGTCGTTAGCCAGGATGAGAACTTAAATTTCTCACATCCAAATAATTACATCTTAACAAAGCTCATTAGCTTAAATTAACTGAGAGGAGGGATGCCATGAGATGCTGTGCAAAAGCATCTCATCCTCAACTCAGGCATTTGAACCAGGTAGTTCTTCGCTGGGGGTGGGACTTCCTGTGTCTTGCAGCATGCTAATTGCATTCCTTATTGCCAGTATCACCCCCCCCCCTTTCTTTTACAATAAAGCAGGCATTGCCAAACATCCCCCGGAGGCAAAATGACAGAAATCTATTGCCACTAAGTTAGAGCAGGTGCCTTTCTTAGCCTGTGGATTATTCCTGATACTTATTGCTACCGCCTCCCCCACCAACCCCAATCTCTGGAGGAACTGCTTCAGAAACCAGTAGGACCTAACCTAAGGGCCTTCTACCAAAAATTTCACACTTTCAACCTGCCGGCATAGGTGTTTTCCCAGGTGTCCTGGGTTTGCCCCAGGTGTCCTGGGTTTGCCCCAGGTGTTACCTCTGCTGTTGGAATCTAGTTATTCCAGGCTACCCCAGCCTTCAGGTCCTTACTCCATCTACTCCGTGCATGACAGCAGCAGAATGTGCTAAATGGTGTCCGGGGGCACTAAGAATGAGAGACATTGGTACACTCTCTGATCTCTAGTACTCTAGCCGCCTACGGAGACACGTAGAGAAAGGAACCCTTGTCAGCTCTGAGATGAGTCTTAGGTGAGATCCATGTGTGAGGTATTACAGAATTAGGGAGTGCACCCGATGAGGTGCTGGTAGGGACAGGCTCCCTACAGAGAATATATTGAGAGTGCTCAAGGACAAATCAGAACCGTTAGGTAATGAAAGAGTCCTTCAGGTAGAGGGGTGGGCGAGTGCATTTGGTAGAGCCAGAAATCCTGCCCTCTCCTGGGTAAGGTATCAGCCTCCGATGAGGGTTGAAACTGGGGAGTATGCTGGGCTCAGGCCTACACCAAGGGGTTTGGATGGAGGTTCTGACTACAAGAAGAATCTATCGTTTTTGCCTGAAGTTGGAAAATCCCAAGGCAAACACTCGATATGCCTATAAAGAAGCTGCTGGGATTCCCTCTTGCTTTCCGAGCACCACTGCAATCTGGTGGAACACGGGGTTCAGCTTCTTGAGCGTGCAGGGGAGAGAGGAGGAAGACACCCCTTCACACCAAGGGAAGAGCCTCCTTTTAAAACCTGAATTCCCTGTCATTCCCACCCTCCCTTCCCCGGGCTCAGACCTCTAAGAGAAGTGGCCCACTCTGCCGTTTTTTGTGACTCAGGGGTGGCGGGAGGAGAGCGAGTGGCAGAGTGACCTGCAGCATGTGCTCCGTTTTCCATCTGTGCCTCACGTGTGCTTCTTCAGACAAAGCACAGGCCAACGCACGCCAGCACGATACACCGCACCAGCTGAGATCAGAACTCTTCTCCAGCCGGTGAGATGGCGCTGGTAAAGGCACCTGGCATCAAGTCTCATGACTTGAGTTTGACACATGGTGGAAAGAGAGAACTAATTCCTGCTAAGTTGTCCCATGACCTTCACACGTGCTCTGTGTTGGGCATGTGCACAAATGCGGGCGTGCAGACACACATATGCACAGTAATTGTAACAAAAGCAGAGAACTCCCTTTGTAAATGAGACCAGGACCAGGCTCATTGAAGAGCAGTGCAGCTGCTGACAATGGACGGCTCTGCGTTCAGGTCTTGTGCCTAAGACACATGAAGCTGTCCCAGGGCCTGTAGGAAACATTGTTTCAGAAGGAAAATGGGGTGGTTGAAGTAGATCTGTACGCGTGGATCTCCCGGTTCAACGAGACCTAGAAAACAGGCTCAGGAAGGAGGTGCTAAGCCTGCCTGTGTACAGAAGGCAGGCAGGCAGGTATATAGCACAGATTAGACCTGGAAGACAGAGAAAGTAACGGAGAGTCCCTACATCTGGACACGTGGGACAGAATGCTGCCCCTCTGTATGTGAAGTTGCCTTGACCAGTTGATGGAGTCGCCTGAATGTAAGTAAATGAAGCCAGGAACTGTGGGCCATGCCTATAATCCCATCACCTCGCGGGGCACAGAGGCAGGAGAATTACTGCAAATGCTACACACTGAATTCCAAGCCAGCTAGATGAAGGACAATCTCGGGGGGGGGGGGGGAGTTCTAGCCTGTCCCCTACCTACCCAATTCAATGCGTATTTATTTTAAGAGCTGATTTGCTAACTTGTGTTGGGAGGGGGCAGAGGCAGGAGGATTACAAATTCGGACGCTGTGTGCGCTGCAGACCGGATGCAAAGGCCAACCTGGGTAACTCAGCTAGATCCTGCCTCAAGATGAAGAAAAGGGCCGAGGCTGTGGCTCGGTGAGAGAGTGCATGCCTGGAATGCCTGAAGCCCTAGATTCAATCTCCAGTACTGCAGGGAGGAAAAAAGAGAGAGAGAGGAGAGTTGATTTGCAGCTGACACATGGTGGGTGGCCTTCTCTCTGATTCGTGGATCACTCAGATGGTCCTGGCTTCCTAGAATTCTTAATACAATTCCAGACATTTTCATTAGCAGCCAGGGCCTATGAAACATCTTTCAAAAGGGCTCTTGGCGTCTTCTCACAACCAGCCTCTCCCAGTTCCAACCCCACCTGTATCACTGGGGGAGAATTTACATTCTTAAAACAGTGCTTTGATTAAGTTTCCCCGCCTCAAAATCTTCTACCTCTTCTGTGTTTTTGAGTAAATGCCCTCCCAGCAGGTAGATTCTGACCACCACCACTCTTGCCCACCGGGCAATAAGGCATTCTTAGCGTCCCAGGAATGGACAGGTGGCCCTATTCCCCCACAGTAGCTTGTAGGTCCTTTCCCATGTGCCTGGAAAGGACATTCCTGAAGGCGGTCTGCAAGGAAGCCCTAGCTCCCTGCTCACTCCTCCCTAATCCTTCCCCCTTCTTTCAGGGAATGCTTGTCCCTCGGACTTCCTAATAAAGGGGAGAGCTTTTTTCCCCCCACCAAGATAACTGCCCACCTCTAGCCTTGAGCGCTGCAGGAAAAGGGGAAAATCCCCAGGTCTGGGAAGACGCCCGGCACATTCTGGGCTCCCAGCAAACATCTCTTGATGGTATCAGAAACATCCAAGACATTCGACTTTATTCACTTAGAGTACAGTTCCGACCACCCACCCTTTCTTCTCCAGGCCAGGGACTTTTCCCTTCATTCTCTCTTGCCTCAGGCAAGAAATTTTGTTCTCTAACATCTTAATTTTGATTAAAATTTGCTTTGATATATAAGAAACAAAATTTCCTTTCTAACCCGGCAAGAAATGAGAGCTTCCCAAATCTCTCTCTCCCAGTCCTACCCAGCACTGAAATTTCAGGTTAAAAAGAACTGACCCGGATCGCTCTTTACTAAATAAAACTTTGTATCTTCTCTGAAGCGCCAGACCACTACCAAAATCCCCATTCAAGAAAAATGTTTGTTGTGAAATGAGGTGTCAGGGTGAACGGTCTACAGGCAGAACAGTACACAGACGCTGAGCTGGGGAAAAAAAAAAAAAAAAAAAAATCAACGCGTTGAACCTCGAATTAGACCTTAGCCTAGTGGTGCCAAAAGCGCCTTAGCTAACCCTGTGTTCTCTAAGCTGTTGATTCGGGGGCTTTTCGAGAACAAAAAGCCTCCTTTCATGGATCGTGCGGTTTGTCACCCTTCACTTACTAAAGAGTGTATGTCCGATGTTTATCTGAGTGAGATCTCTGTCGCGCTCAGCCAGTCATCCAGTTCAGCCACCGACAGAAGCACGTTTCCTTAAATCAGAGACCCGTGGACTCTACCTGAGAACTACATTACCCAGCGGGCCTCGCGCCTTTCGCAGGAAGGACGTCTGCGCACTAAGATACTCAGTTCCAAGTTTGGAGCTTTTAGCTGCCAGCCCTGGCCCATCATGTAGCTGCAGCACAGCCTTCCCTAACGTTGCAACTGGGAGAAAAATCACTTTCCAGACTGTTTTGCAAGGTGTGCAATTACATCTTGACTCCCTGAAAGTCCATCTGCTGCATCGGTCAAGAGAAACTCCACTTGCATGAAGATTGCACGCCTGCAGCTTGCATCTTTGTTGCAAAACTAGCTACAGAAGAGAAGCAAGGCAAAGTCTTTTGTGCTCCCCTCCCCCATCAAAGGAAAGGGGAAAATGTCTCAGTCGAAAGGTAAGAGCCTATTTGCATTAGTTGCAAAAAATGCAAAGGCTTATGCATGCATTCATGAATGCATGGATGCAATTTTCGCCCGGCGATTGCATTTTTAAGTTTGAGGTTTTCCACAGCTCAGTTGCATTTCCTGTTTAGTGTGTGTCTTTTTTTGCAGACACAGAGAGTTCCTGTAAGGCAGGGCTTGCAGTTCAGCTGTGCGTTGACATTATTTGCATTCTTCTACTAGGATTACCGAGCCTTTTTGCCTTTTGCACAGTCAGGAGAGATATAGCAGGTTGGTAGCGTCTAAATGTGCAATGCTTTATATAATAGTACATTTCTCTAGTGTGCACGCATATTCAAAGTAATTTTGTGTGCAACAGGAATCCAAACTTTCGAAAAGTCGCGAGGTGAAGATGAAAGGTAAAACTCGACTTAAACTACTAGGAAATTTATGTGATCTTATATTCTTTGAGGGCATGAGCCACTGCGGTGCCAGTATTCAGCTTACATTTGTATTGATTTCGTTTTGGACATTAGGCAACTTTTGATTTTTAAGGGAAGTGAAGGTGAAATGTGGAAAGAAGTGTATTACTGGAAAAAAAAAAAAAGCAGACAAGTCTTGCTCTTACGAGATTTTAAACTTTGCTTGCAATGATGAAGACCTAAATGTGTTTGGCCATTTGGAAGATGGTTTTGCGCCTGGGGGAGGATTTTAGGGGGTAATTGTATTTTTAAGCATTGCATCCACACGAGACGAGTGCACTGTCTCTCTGGCAAATAGAGTGAACTCTAAGTGTGTAACTGCATAGATTTGGTCAGAAGTCCTGTAACAGGTCAGAAGCTCAGGGCTCTGGTTGCGTTTTTTTTTTTTTTTTTTTTTCCCTCAAATTTATTTAATTAAAATATTTTGTAGGGTTGTTTTTGCAGACTTATTGATGTTCTGTAGAGGGAATTAAAAAAAAAAAAAAGGATCCTAGCATGGGATCAAAGATGAAGGTGTGCTTAGGCGCTTGTGAGACCTTCAATGACTTTTTTTCTGTAGCAATCTTCCTTACCGTACAGAAATCAGGTGGCATCTGAGAAATGCCCCCAAGTGAGGAGGGGTGCTAGGCTACCTGGGGGTACTGCTGGAGTAAGACCTGGTGACGTTGAAGTATCCAATAAGCTTTTGGCCACACTTTGTTGGGTTCTTATCCCTCTCCCTGATAAAGATGGTGCGTCTGGCCTCATGAAGAGAGAGGGGGGCTGCTCTTCAGAGTTTCAAGTAAGCTTGTTTATGGTTGTCATGGCTTGTTTTGTGTTTAATATCAGGAGAGGATGAAATGTGTTAACTACTTCAGAAATGTGCAGATGAACCTAGAAGTTGGCATTTTTTTTTCCTAAGGTGTGGATATTTCTTAGCTAGGGAAAATTCAGAATTTTGTAATTGAGCAGAGAAATAAGAGTTGACAAGAGCCAGGCCATGCTATAGCATACTAGAGAAATGACTTCTAGTTACTTTGCATTTGGTAAACATTCACTCATTCATTCAATTCAGCTTACTATGCGTATGTATGATATGCATGCTTATGTCTGTATACATGCTTATTCATATATGTACATGCACACGTATATTTACATGTATGTGTAAGTGCATAGAATCTAGGGGTACTCGAGAATATTTAAAATGAAATCTTTGTCTTCAAGAATTGCCATCTGGTTTGTGAGGAAATTTTTGCGACACGGATTACAGCGCAGTCTGGGCCAATGAGATGGCTCCGTGGGCAAGGGCGCCTGCAGCCAGGCCTGACTACCTTCATTCCATCCCCCAGACCCACATGGTGGAAGGAAACTCCTACAAGTTCTCCTCCGACCTCCACACGTGCACCGTGCACACCCCATACACACAGAGGAAATAAATGAAAACATAATATAAAAAACTTTAAACAGCCCCACTACTGAAGAGGACTAGGACCTCCAGAGTTTAGAGGCAGTATGGAGTCCTCCATCTGTGGAGTTGTCAGGAAGTTGCATGAAGGTTGTATGTGTCACAGCCTCCCCGCCACCACCACCTCACTTTGGACTTTAGGCTCTAAAGTAACTTTCTTCCTGCATAGTTTTTGGTCCTACTTGTGAGATAAATCTCTTTCTCAGCAGGTCCCTCTTTTTTTTTTTTTTGTACTCTGGAAGCTAACAGGGGTGTAATTGTGTGGCACTTTCCCACTCTTGATCATGGTCTTTCTAGTCAGTTTCCATTCGATGCAGATAAGCTTTCTCAACCAGATCTTGCTTGCAAACTGTATCTGCTATGAACATGAGGTTTTTACCCTGAAGGAGAATTATTGGTGGAAAGACCTTGGGCAATCATTTTAGACATGGCTAGGGAGTCTTGGCCTGGACTTTTTATGTGGGCTGGGCCTAGCTCAGCAGGGCTCTCCTCAAATGGCCAAAAGCACTTTTTTTTTTTTTTTTAATCTTCGTCTTTCTTCTTTTTGATTCCAAACTTCTTTTTAATACTTTAGCCAAATGAAATGGGAGGAAAAGTGAGAGGTGGGTACAATCTCACAGTATTGAAGAATTTAACAACATGTTCAATTCACGAACCTTTATGAACTTTTTGGATCACTATAATTCGGTTTTACAGACCTCTAATTTCAGGCATAGCAGAGGCAAAGAATTACAGACTGCCCAGGAGCTGGAAGGACTGGGCTCCGTCTTTCCTAGCCTTACCAGCATTGGGATTCCGAGAAAGAATTTTCTTAAAAAGAGATTCTGTTTTCCACAGTTGTGAGTTGAGGTGGTATGTTTCTCAGCTTGTTTGTATTAGCTGTCTGGGGTTGAGCTGACATTTTTCAAATGTTAAAGCAGTAGTGTGCCTTTTGAGGAAATCTGAACTGTAAGTTAACAGGAAGGGTACCAGAGTGTGCAGGAATTCCTGCACATTACAGGAAGGCAAGCCACAGGAAAAATGTGTCATCTACACTACCCAGGAGAGAGAACTATTGTGATCAGCCAGAATGGTCTTCTGAGGGAGGCAGGGTGGTCTAGCATCTTCTGGTTTTCCTGAAAATATATAAATTTGGCCCTTGTTAGAAGCCAGTCTTTCTAACGTCTTCTTCTGGTTACCTTGTGAAAACAATATGAGCTTATTTTAGTTGAATGTAGTCATAAGTAAGTCATGTAAGCAATGCTTACAAGGCGTGCTTCGGAAGGGGATGGGAGCATGGCTGGGAAGATCTCAGCCCCCTCCCCCGAGTTAACCTCTGCTTTTGTAATTCACTCCATCCTGGGGAAGCAGATGTGTAGATTTCTCATTCAGTGCGCATGTCTTGTTGGGCTGTACCACACGGACTTGTCATGCTTAGCCTATAATCTGAGCTAGTGTGTTTTATAACTCTGTCGGTCTCAGGACACCCAGTCAGAACAGGCACCTTGGGCCTCCTGCTTGCTTTGTATTGGTGTTGCTTTCAGTTCTTTCTAATATGGTGTGTTAGCTAAACTGGACGTGTGTGTGTGTGTGTGTGTGTGTGTGTGTGTGTGTGTGTGTGTGTGTATTGCTGATGCAGCTCCTTCTGGACACAAAAGTTGGGATCCTTTCATTTTTCACAGATTAATACCATTTTAAAAAACAAAAACAAACAAACAAACAAAACAAAACAATCCCCCATCTGTTAAAACCTAAAAAAATCTACAGGGAGTATTTTTAAAACTTTAAAATGTTTATGAATAGTACTTCTTTATTATAGGAATATTCAATAGAAAAGAAAAACAAAATGACCGCTGCAGAATGCATTGTGGCATGTTCTCTTCAGGCTTTTGGTCTGTGCGTGTGTGTATGAAATGTGCAAGGTATGTGTACCACTAGTGTCTGTTAGGCTACTTTTTATTCTACTTACCAATATGTTATGAAGTGTGTCTGAGTCAGTGTATTTCTACATTAGCAATCTCCAATTCCATTGCATTTGCTTAAATAGACTTTCAGTAACTATTTCCTCCAGGATTATACTTATTGCCACATATTTTCCACCATATGGTGGCAAATAGACTGAATTCCAGGGAGTCAACTGCAGATTATGGGTGTCTATATTTCTTTCATCCCCCAATATTTTCTCTATATTCCAAACCTAGGCTTTTATTATCATTATTCTATAAATGGTCCATGTTCGTTAACAAATTTAAACCAAAGAAAAATTCATGATAAGAATATACATCTTGAGCCAACTTTGGTGGTGCATGTCTTTAATTCTGGAATGAGGGAGGCAGAGGCAGGTGGATCTCTGTGAGTTCAAGGACATCCTGATCAACATAATGAGTTCTAGGGCAGCCTAGGCTGCATGGTGAGACCCTGCCTCAAAAATTACATTCGTGCACATGCGTGCGCACGCGCACACACACACGTACACACACTTCACCTCAAACTACTCAGAGAGATAATTGCTGTTCACTTTTGATAACTATCTTTATAAACAGTCTTTTACATGTGTTATTTTACTGTATGGGATATTTCCCTTAAACTCCTCCATGAGTCTTGGCTGTCTTCCAGTACACATACAGTAGCCTCATTCTTTGTTATAATCGCGTACTTTAACTTATAAGAACATAGCCATATACTCAGCCTTCCATGGACATCCATGGAATGGATGGAGAGATGGTTTAGCAGTTAAGAGTGCTGGCTGCTGCTCTTCCAGAGGACCGGGGTTCAATTCCCAGTACCCACATGGCAGCTCACAACTGTCTGTAACTCCAGTTCCAGAGGATTCGCCTCCCTCACACAGATATACATGTAGGCCAAATGTCAAATGTACATAAGAATAATTAATTAATTAATTAAAATATTTTCAGACAGCCAGCATAGTGGCATAAGCTGGTAATCCCAGCACTCTGGGAGGAAGAGGCAGGTGGATATCTGTGAGTTTGAGGTCAGCCTGGTATACAAAGTGAGACCAGGCCAAACAAGGCTATACAGAGAAACCCTGTCTTGAAAAAAACAATTTTTTTTTTTTTAGACAATATACTTTGATGGTATTCTTTCCTCT